CTCTCTTTTCACCTCTCCCTCCTCTCCTGACCCTCAGGGATGTCTTTTTCATTCCTCATCACCTTTGTTCTTTCCTGTCTGTGCCCATCTTCCCTTCCTGTTCTTTTCTTTTTTTGTCGTCTGAAATGTAAAATAGAACTGGTGAACCTGCTTGTCTTGCCACTGCATCCCACTTGGTCTCCTCTCCCACTCTCTCTTTTTCAATTCATGCGTTCTCTCTCTCGATTAAAACTAGGTCATTCTGCAACATCGAGCCACAGCTCCTGCCAAGCATGACATCCAGATACACACATGTATCGCCTGGCAACCATGCATTCACCCCGCACCCCCTTCATCCTCCATCCTCATTTCCTCCATCTTACCTTCCCTAGAGGTTGTGCTCATTGCAGATAGGGTTTGCAATCTGACACTGCTTTGTTTTGTCCCTGCTCTGCTTCCATCGAGGACCTGAGAGTTAACTGAGCAGGACGTCGTCATGGATAGGAATGTAATTTCACACATGCATTCATACATTTTTAGTCTGCTGATGTACTGTGGAAGGTAATAGTCTCAGTAATAGCCTACAAATCTGCGTCTAATCTACGTGTTTGAACTAATCTGATGAGATAAGCAAATTAGGTTCTGGCTTTATTTAATTTATTGGTTTATTTACATTTTTTTTTTTGCCAAATCATCTCTTCAATCATGTTATCATGACAACGCATTCTGAAAAATATGGAATTTAGTATTGTATACAGAGTGTGTTGTTCTCAGGATGGGAAAGTTCCATTTAAAGTGTTTTCACTGTAGAATGAATCAGTATGACAAAACCCCCCCCTCAAAATTCCCTTACTAGTTTTATACAGCTCTTTTAATCATGACTCAAAGTCTTCCTCAGCAGATGGAGTTCAATGGACAATGCTGCTGCACTGGTCGTCAACTTGTGGCCCTCATTGAATGGATTTCAGAAATTCATAGAGGTAGACAATGAGAGTGGTGTTGCTACTACAAAACTACCAGTTCTACTACTGGCACTGTCTTTTTTGCCCAGTGGAGTGCTGGTGCATGAAAGTCATTGGTATCTTATATAGTCATTGTGCTATTTCAATAGTAGTAAATTTACTGTGATGAATCACCCAGCATGGATTCTACCAGCTGGACAAACAGGATGAACAATCTGCATCAGTGCTGTTCTATATGCTCTGAAAATGTTTGGATAATAAAGAAAATGTGATTTGATTTTACATTTAACTATATCTTAATGGACAGATTTTTTTGGACATATTTTTCTCTCTAGAGGTGCAGAAGATCCAATAAAAATGTCTTAGACTACAAAACTCAAGCAGAATTGCAATTTTTCTTGCTCATAGACAAAATTCAACCCAACATCTCCCACATCAAGCCATCATGTTTAGTATGTTAAGTAGGCCATTAGGAGACCATCTAATGAGAGGAAATGATGTCATTGTCATAGAGATATTTTCCCCCACAACCTATTTAGCATCTGACCCATGACCTTCTCATGTTTGTAAGAGCCATTTATTACCGTGACCTCGCTGCCTTTTTGTGTGTGTGTGTGGCACAGTGATAGACAGAGTTCAGCAGCTATATCTCGAGGGTGGATAGCAGGTTGGGGGTGGGAGCTATATGCATGTATGGAGGTGAGCAGCACACACACACACA